GATTAATACTGAATAACTTTAATAATCTTATCGGATGATTTTTATAATAAGAGATCCATACTTTTGACGTTACCGAATTAAAAATAATATTGAATTGACTAACCGGTAGTACAGTACACGAACGACAGACGAATTCTTTTTCCAACTAATATAATGCTTTAAAAAAGTTACATCACCGTTCGATTAATTTTCCGGACATGAAACGCATTCCGTTCGTATGTCGAAACGATATGTTCCAGCGATTTTCATTTCCCCCTTCCTTTACCTAAAGGTCCTCGCTCGCTCGGTCCCGTGGGCTTTTGCCCGCGTGGAGAGAGCTTAATTATTTCCAACGATCGGAGCACAATGCGCCTGAGGTTGAATTCTAACGACTCGATGGATGCCGCGAAATACGTGCTTTGCGTAGTCGAATCGCGCGGGATCCGACTTGACCCGTGCTATACATCCTGTGCTAGAAAGAGGGAGAGCGAGAGGGGGGGAGGGGGAGAGAGAGAGAGAGAGAGAGAAGCTCGCACAATTGAACAACCGGCTTTAATTGAAGTCGTGACCGCTGTTACGCTACTGCGATTATGTCCGCATATGGTAATTCATAGTAACGCAGCAATGTTTCATAACATGCATAAACACAAAGACGTTTACATGTCGTCACAGTTTCGGAATTCTATAGCTGGGCTAATGAAAACTCCGATTTAAACGAGCTTAACTCCCATAATTAAATTTGTACGTTCCTTTTCTCAATTCTCTACATGGAAAAGACAATTCGAAGCGTCTAAAAATTTTGCTAGATACACATTATAAATATGTTTGATGTACAAATAATTCGCGTTGCAAAAAAATCAGAAATAGCGAAATATCAAGTAACATACAGAAATAAAAGCATCGTATAAATTTTGAAATTTTATGATACCAATAATAATTCTATTTCACGCAATTGCATTAATTTTGTGTCTTCCGATTAAAGTTTCATGCATGAAACGCGAGACGCAATCAATTTTCCAATTATATCAGTCAAATGATAAAAACTGGATATATAAGAGATATTTATTGTACATTTTGATTTAATATCTTCGTAAAGCTCACGTGAAATGGATACAGGTATAATAAATGTGAAATGAAGCCGCTACCAGGACGAAACTACGAAGGTAACTGAAATGTCCCTTCTGGTGAAGAAGTGCAGATACGAAATATAAACAGATCTCGGATAATTGAAATGCTTCCGGGGTCGCGAATGAAAGCAGGAGGGGTCGTCGACGTGGCATTTCCTTTTTCGTGCTATGTAAATTGCATTACCAAGCGACCGTTAGATATCAGTGTCGCGCGAAAAAAAAAAAATCAAATTGCACTCGTCGGTGTACCGCTCGTTTCCTCCTGGTCGACGCGGCGCGGCCATTAAACATTCATATTCTCGCGGGCGTAAACTTTAAAATTCTGTCATGAATGTCGAACTTTTCCTTTATCGCGTCGCGCGCCCCACTGAAACTTCTTCTTCAACTTAAACGTCGTGAAATGCCGCCAAGAGGTGTAGTCAGAATTTCTCGACTTTTATACAAAAAAAGAAAAGAAAGAAGAAAAAATTCGCCGATAATTTTATTTTCGTACATTGAATTTCTACTCAACCAGTTGCTTTTTAAATCTGAGAGGGGGGGGGGGAGTCACAGACTTATTGAAAGTCTGTCAGTAACATTTTCTTTATGCTGTAGTTACGCCTCTTTTTTATACTTTAAAGGAAAATTTATTTTTAAATCAAGAAAAAGAAGAATGTGCAAAGAGAATATGCTACATTTACGAGCTCTTTACTATTTAATACAAATTAATTCATATATTTTCAGTGTTAATAATTAATAATATTCAATTCTTAATTGATATTTTTTTATAGAAAATTCTTTTAATTTGCATATTTTTCTTTTTTTTTTATTCAAAAATAAATTAAAATAAAAAAGATTTTCTTAATTCACATTTTTCTTTTTTTAATTAAAAAAATTAATATTCTTTTAAAGAACGTTTGAAAATTGCTATTAATCTTTCATAGCCTTATATGATAATTGTGCTATTATTTCTAAGATACAAATTTCTATACCAGTTACTTTTATCCTGGTGGAAAAAACGCATTTTCAGTACACCTAGAGAATCTAGTCTACTGAAAATTTCGCGAATTTCAATCAAACGATGGCAGATAAATATTTATAAATCGGCTTACTTGCTCGAAGTCCTACCGTTAAATTTGTCATCACGTTCAATAAAAATCTGTTCAAGGATCTATTCCATCGCTGTTAGAAATTTCAAAAGACTATCCTCTGTGTATCGCTTCCTCATCGACCGTATCTGAATTACACTTCTCGGTAATTATTTAAAATACTCCTCCCCTCCCCCTTCCCACCTCAAATCTTAATAAAAATACACGGCGGTCGACCTCGTGAATCGAATTATTAAACGTTAAAGTTAGGAGACTAGAGATTAAAGTATCTAATCATTTCGATTCAATACAGCTCTATGTATACGTTCTGCATTATACAAATTCACTGCTTTAAAAATACATTTACTGTTTTAAAAACACAAATTCACTGCTTTAAGCACACAAATTCTTTGTATTAGCAGAATTTGTGTTTTTAAAGCAATAAATGTGTTTTTAAAGCAATGAATTTGTGTAATTAATGCAGAACGTATACATACAGCTGTATCGAATTGGAATGATAGATATCTTAATCTCCAAAGTCTCCAACTTTAACGCCGAATAACTTGATTCACGAGGCCGTCGCGTTTTTTTACCAGATTCTTTCGTTTTGAGTGAAAACACATCGAATAAGTGTATTTTTATTAAGATTTGAGGACGGGAGGAGGATTATTCTAAATTACCCATTTCTCTTACACACGGCACTTAAACAACAATGAAAAACAGTGCAAAAAATGATCGAACGACATTTTACATTCCGGCAAGCCGCAAAAGCAAATACGACTTACTTCGGAACTCGACAACGATCGCGAACGTTCGACATGACCGCGAGAAAATTTAACTGCCACACGCATTGTTTTACGCACACAATTATCGATTCCGCGTTGTTATTCCGAACAAGCATCGTACAGACACTTGTCGCACTCGCGCGTTCGAATTAACAAAATTGACGACGAAAGACACGCTATGCGTCTGTCGTCTGCGCGAGCAGCCGTGCTGCGAGTCGCGTGAACCCCGTAGAACAGCGTCACAACGCGCGGAATTTTCGATGGACTGCACAACCTCTGCGTGTATCTACTGTCTACGAATATACGATCTCGAATGCTAAGACGACGCATAACGAGTCAAAAATAGAATGCGTACCTGAAAAATCCGATCCAATTACTCAAAGTCTTGCCTTTATGTCCGAACAGCGAAGACGGAAACTTCATTCGCGGCCGTTGCTGAACACTTCGAAGATCCATTTTGGCTCCCTCCGTTTTCGTTTTCTCCCTTCACTGCACCTGAAGCACATTACACACACACACACACACACATAAGATTCAATATACGCACGAAAATATATGTTCATATAATTTCGACGAGTCGAAAAGAAACGCAAGATTCACCTCATACCGTTCAGTATTCCGCGAACGCGGCTAACTTCGCGACTCCACTGTGCTCGATCGCAATGAAAAGCACGAAAGAGGCGATCGAGAATATTCGTGGACAAGATCGCAAGCAAATCTGGCTTCCACACGCATTGTTTCACGCACAAATGATCCCCCGTCGTTGTCGGAAACGAATATTGCACATACTTGACGCGAACGCGTATTTGAACCGGCGAGAATTCAACGACGAAGGCGGAAAGACGTTACATTCGTCGCGGCGCGGCGATCGTCTACTGCGCAAGCAGCCGTGCTTCGAGCCGTGCGGACCCCGTAGGCTACGTCACATGACGTCACAGCGCGTGACGCGTTCAAAAGGCAGTACGGTACCGGCCGGTACCGGTGTACGTTGTGTGCTGTTTAGTTGCGTTCAATACGATATTTAATCTACTGAATAGTCGCATAAGTTACGGTTGTAATAAATGATGATACAATAAATAAAATTCTTTAAAGATCGAATAGTTTTACAAGTAGAAAACAAGACTAACATAGCACTGTGAAATTAAAGGATTAAATTATTTTAGTTCGTGTATTTCCCACTAGATTGCCGTGGTCGAGAGTCCATTGAAGGTTTAATGGAATTTTCTCGAGAGTGATTTTAAACATGTTTCGAAGTATATATACAATTATAAAAGAATCTCAAATTGTACTTGCTTCGGCAGTACATATACTAAAATTGGAACGATACAGAGAAGATTAGCATGGCCCCTGTGCAAGGATGACACGCAAAATCGTGAAGCGTTCCACATTTTTTGACAAAAATTACGAAAAATTGCTTTTTATTGTAATTAATAAGGAATATACAGTAACGCATTAATTCTTTTATATATTTTTTTTTAATTACTTGATTTTAACTACTCGATTTAATTTTTAGAATGTATTTGGTGTATAATCTGCAAAAAATAAATAAATAAAATTGAAAATTCATACTTTCTGTACAAAAATGAATATTACATACATATAAAATAGTCATATAAGATAATTTATATTTAACAGTACAATCTTATAATTTAAATGAAAATTTTGTTGTTTTATCCTTAATCTTTAAAAACGTTTACTTATTAAAATAATGTTTTGTCCAAGTTCAAAATCATCGCCACACTTTTTGTATTACTTTCACAAATGTGTTAAAAAATTAGTAATTTTTTCATAATTTTTTCATTAAAAAAACTACGTACGATACATTTTTAAATAAATTAAGACGTAATTACGTGCATTATATATATATAATAAATTTGGAATTTTTAATATAATTTTTAATCTCATCGTTACATATCCGGATTATTTGTTGTAATAAATTTTTGTTGTTATAATAACTTTTTCGAAATTATTGAATGCTTATAAAATAGGGAATTTCTAAAAATTCGAATATTTCTCTATTCTGCAGCTAATCAACAGCCGAGAAAAAAACTGAAACTGTCCTCCTTCCTCTCGTGTAGAAAATGTTGACCATGCTGCACCACGCGGTACCACGCGGTGATCAATAGCGTATGTCTATAAGAATTGCGCGGCATAGCAAAGAATTAAGTAAGTGACAAAGAATATATATTTTTGCATAACAAATGTATGATACAAATTGTGGAATATCCTTTATTTGTAAAATATTATTGTTATAAAATAATTTAGAAACATTTATGCTGTAAATAAAAATCTATTGAACAGTTTGTAGGTTAAATGGGTCGCAAAGGAAAATTTGATAAAGACCTCAGTGGTCGTGGAAGGAAAGCAAAGAAACAGAATGATCCAACATTTCCAAAAGGAATTCTAGGTATGAAAGGTAGTGATTAATTTTTGTTAATATATTTGCATAAAATTAACTAAACCTTTCCACGTTATAGATAAAGAATCTAATACGTTAAGTCACCGACAGAAACAAAGAGCAAAGAAAAGACTATTGAAGAATCAACAGCTAAAAGAAAATGCAAAGAAATTGCTCAAAAAGAAAACTACTGTGGAAGAACAACAAGTACAGTCAAAAAATGTATGTTCTTGATGTATATAATAAAGGTCTATTATTACTTTTTACAGCTTTTATATAAATGATCTTTGTTTAATTAATTTTAGAGGAAAGACATATTAAAGCAGCAGAAAGAGAAGAAGGAGAAGAAAGTAAAGTTTGTCAATGAGAAAAGAGATAAGATGGTAATCCAATCTGATCTGAGCTCAAAGCTAAAAACAAAAGTGAAACAAAATAAGAAGAAAACAAAGGGGAAACAGAAAGACATAATAAAAAATGTAGAAAATGATAGTAATAAGAATCATCACAGTAAAGATGATAAAATTAAAATATATTCCAATAATCAGGTATCGAAGCTAAGTAAGAAAGCTAAACAAAATAAAAAATTGAAAGGCAAAACTAAGATCAATATAAAAAGTGAAAGTTATAGTGATAATAATTATAGTGAAGATGAAGAAATGGAAATATACTCTAATAAACAAGTAACCAAACTAGGCAAAAAAGCAAAGCAAAGCAAAAAGAAGAAAAATATGAAAGTTGAGAGCAATGAAGAAAGTGAAGGTGATGATGATATGTTATTTAATGACGATGAAATTGAGGAAGATGAAGATAAACAAATGAATGAAATGAATACGAGTGAGGATGAAGAACATATGAGTGAAGATGAAAACGAAACAAGCGAGAATGAAGAGGACATAAGCAAGAATGAAGAGGATATAAGTGAGAATGAAGAGGATACAAGCGAGAATGAAGAGGATACGAGCGAGAATGAAGAAGATACGAGCAAGGATGATAATCAATTGCTGTCTGCAGCAAAGTCAAAGAAAAACTTAAAGAAAACAAAAAAATTTATGGAGGATAATATAGAAAGTGACAGTGAAGAGATGGTTTCCAGTGACGAGGAAAAATCTACCGAAGATGAGCAAATGGAGGAAGATGGAGAAGAAAATGATGAAAGTGATGATGATGATGATGATGATGACTTACTTCCAATAGAAAAAGCTAATAAAAAACTGAAAAAGAAAAAAGAGAAAGAACAGTGAGTAAATTTTTAACTATTCGTAATACTAATTTTTTTAACTTAATTTTTTCCATTTTTTTTATGAAATAGAAAGCTTGCTGAGGAAGAAATGGAAGATATGATGGCGCATCAAAGTGTATTCTCTTTTCCAAATGACGAAGAACTTACCAATGTTACTAATTTGAAAGATATTCAGCAACGAATACGAGATGTTATCATGGTGTTATCAGATTTCAAGAAATTACGGGAGAAAAATAGGTCACGTTCTGAATATACTGAATTACTTCGAATGGACTTATGTACATATTACAGTTATAACAATTTCCTAATGGAAAAATTGATGCAAATGTTTCCACTAGATGAGTTACTAGAATTTTTGGAAGCGAGTGAAGTACAAAGACCTATGACTATCCGAGCGAATACTTTGAAAACCAGACGACGCGATTTAGCTGAAGTAAATTCATATCTGTATTATAAAATTAAATCAATGTTATATATAAACAATGTAATTATAATTGCAATGTCGAATCTATTTTCAGGCTCTCATCAATAGGGGTGTTAATCTTGACCCAATAGGAAAATGGACAAAGATTGGTTTGGTAGTGTATTCCTCACAAGTGCCTATGGGCGCAACACCGGAATATCTAGCTGGACATTATATGATACAAGGCGCTTCGAGCTTCTTGCCCGTAATGGCGTTAGACCCGAAAGAAAATGAAAGAATTCTCGACATGTGTGCTGCACCAGGCGGTAAAGCCTCGCACATTGCTGCCATTATAAAAAATACTGGAACTCTATTCGCTAACGATTTAAATAAAGAACGATTGAAAGCTGTTGTTGGCAATTTCCATAGACTTGGTATTGTCAATTGTGTAATCAGTAGTTACGACGGGCGAAAATTCCCTACGGTAAAAAAAATTTTCTTTTATTTTTTATAGCTCGCAGTAAAGCTTTCAAGATTTATGAATTTGATAATCTCATTTTCAGATTATAAAAGGTTTCGACAGAGTTTTATTGGATGCTCCGTGTACAGGTACAGGAGTAGTCGCAAAAGATCCTAGTGTAAAAGCGAGTAAGGCAGAAATAGATATTCAACGCTGTTGCACGTTACAAAGAGAACTGTTATTAGCTGCGATTGATTGTGTTAACGCGCGTTCGGAATCAGGTGGTATTATTGTTTATTCGACTTGCTCGATTTTACCAGAGGAGAACGAATGGATCATCGATTACGCTCTTAAAAAACGCGACGTTAAGTTACTACCTACTGATTTGGAATTTGGAACTGATGGTTTCACGAGTTACAGACAATATCGATTTCATCCCTCGTTGAAATTAACTAAACGGTTTTACCCGCATGTACATAATATGGATGGTTTCTTTGTAGCAAAATTAAAAAAATTCTCCAATAATATTCTTAATCAAAAAAATGTAAAGGAAGAAATGTCTGATTAAAATTTTCTCGATTTGTTCAACAATTTTTTTATAATTGAATTACGCTGTCATTACATACAATATCATTATTTTGTCTTATTTACATATACAAATCCTTTTCAATTTTTCAGTACTAATGAATAATATAAAATATACATATATATATAAAAAGAGAAAGAGAGAAAGAGATAATTCACATTTTATATCACATGTGTATAAATATACAGCTTCCTACAATTATTTCACATAATGTATATTATCTATTTATAGTCAGCGAGGATTGTTATGAAAGATTAATGATAAAAATAAGGAAATAATATTTATAATTTTATATATTTCCATTTTTCGTTGCATATTCATCAATGGAAAAAAATACTTTTTAATTGCTTCTCGCAAAGCCTCTTTACTTCATCTGTAATAAATGGAGAGATTATTAAGAGATTATTAAACAATTATAAATTCAATTGCATAGAATGTTATACCTACCATCAATTTCTATAATACTCGCACTTTTCTGCTGTATAACAACAAAAAATTCTCTTAGATTTGACAACTTTCCAATAACCCAATAATCACTTATGGTCTTTATAATTACTTCTCCAGCTTCCTTCAATCTAAGAGACAAGTATTAACGTGTAATTTTCATTAATGTGCACGTTTTATGAATTTTGAGAAATGTATGTACCTGTTTCTATCGTTGTATATATCAGTAATAATCCTCAAGACCTCAGGTGTTGTAAGTACATTAGAGCAACGTCTATTATCTAAATGTATTGTACTCTTGTATGCTAGATTTAACTTATTAAAATACAGATACTTAGTACACGATTCCGGTGTAACTATTACATGTTTTGAGCACTGCTCAGCTACAGAGCTAACTAATGTGGTTAATTGTGGTCCCAGAAAACCGTCTAAGCTTTTAAAGAAATCAATTAATAAACTAGTTTTCTCTGAAAATTAAAAAATACAAATATTTTTATTTTTGTGTTAATAAATAATGTAACTAATAGTTTTAACAATTTCACTTACTATCGACGAAAAGACATATTGTAGCGCTTAGTGCTCGATACACTACTAGATACAATGATACAGGTTTAGTAGAGTAGTTGATAAAAACTTTTGGTGATTTTCCAATTAAACTGGGTTCATTAACGCTAGCAGGTCCGGTAACAAATCTAAACAAAAATACTATTAATAATATTTTCGTCACAATTTACATTTCAATTGAAGCAAAATATTTATTCGTTCTTACTTTCCATAATGTGAAGAAGTGAATGGTGAGGGAGAGTTTCTAGGTATTGAGCCTCCATGTAATTCTTTTTCAAGGTGAGCTGGTAAAAGAGTACTTACTAAATAATTATAAACTACTTGCATGTCTTCAGGTTCCAAGCCACTCCTAAAAAAATTATGAGAGAAATCTTATATAAAATATTCAATATACGCATATATCATAATAGAGGAATAACAAAAGCAAAACATACCAAACAACTTGGTCATTATAGAGAAATGCAGTGTATTTTACTTGCGTAAACATAGCTTCTACAAGATTCATAAAACATTGCACTTTGAGAAATGTAATCTTGTCAAGAGGTAAGAATTGTAAACCTTGGAAAACATCTAATATATCACTATTATTCAGTTTTAATGAAAGCAGATACTGAAACAAGTCGAAAGTGAAATATAGTAAAGGCGTATATTCATGTCGAGCTTATATTTGATTGAAAAAATATAACTTTACTTACTCGTGAATAAAAATGTTCTAGTTTAAGTTTTAACAACATTACAGAGCCACATTCAGGATCATTAATGATAGTTTTAAAGGAACCCATGAATAATCTGAACATCATGTATGTCTGTTTTAATATAGCTTGACAAACATTGCTGGATACTTCATCATTCTGATATTTATTACCGTCTCTTTCTTTATAGATGTATGGTACACCAACGATCTGTAAAATGTTAATAAAATTGCTTTGTATCTCATACTAGTTTAAAAATGATAAATGTCTCATTTATTATATCTTCTAAAATACATACCATTACCATCCAAAAATTAGGTTCTGGTTGATAATATATCTGACGTATTTTATGTGTATGGCAATAGTCACATGGCTGTCCAGGATTAAAAGATCTGTAATACATTTTCTTTTATAATGATATTCTTTATGGACATACACAATTGAGATACATACTCTGTAAACTTGATTATCGCTTCGCTAAGCCCTATGTTCTTGATTTGAACATCTATTTCCTTTTCCGGATAGTAATACAATATTTTCTTTTCTTCCTGATAAAAAAAAACATATGTTCACATCACATGCAACTTATTTAATCAAAAAGGATTACTTTTTGACATATCTCTACTTACCTCTCCTTCCTTCTTCGCATAAGTGCCATTAAAAATATAAAAATGCTCCAAGGTGATTTCGGACTTAGAAGTCATTTTATGAATTTGAATAAGTATTCAAGTATTATAAACACTATAAAAATTTGGCTCATTGAGACATATCAACTGATAGTTGATGAAGAGAGATCTTGACAAGAGGATTATTAATCCCCACCTTCACTTCACACGAGTTGATCTTGGAGACCTCGCGTGGTGAAAGCACGAAGTTTCATATTCAGCTGTCAGTACTCAGAGTAGTATCAGTTTATGTGTATGTGAGACGCGTGTATGTACATGTGGACCTTCCAGTAGGATTGATACACAAATCATATTTAATAATGTCTTTAACGAAGTAAGAGTTATTTTCGTACACAAATTTATATGTTTAGTAAAATCATTTTGTTACTATTAACACAATCTTAAATAGTATTTAAAAAACGCTTTCTTTGTGATTGACTTGAAAATAGAATGTCCTAACCTCTAAACGTAGAATCAGAACTTACAAATTATCTGGTTGTAATAATAGTTGTTTCTTTTCTTTCTACGACCTAGCTTATTACCTGCCCCCACCCAAGTGGTGTGGGACAGGGAGGACGAGGCTCGCGAACAAAAACTACGCCAAAGACCGGTTTCAGCGCTGGTCAAAGCTGTTGTTACTGCACCACCTTATGGACAGCGACGAGGATGGGTGCCACGCAATCCAGAAGTGAGTAATTGCTGTAACTTGGCAAAGATTTGTACAAACAAATATTCTTTATCAGCATTACTTTTGCATTTTATAAAATCATGAGTGATGATAACTCTTGTAATTCTTTTAAGTGTAATACATTGTATATTATATGTAGGACTTTGGAGATGGAGGAGCTTTCCCCGAGATTCACGTTGCACAGTATCCGCTTGGAATGGGGATGAAGGGTAAAGAATCTACAAGCAATGCCTTGGCGATACAACTTGATGCTCAGGGAAAAGTAAAATATGATCTTATAGCAAGACAGGGTCATAGCAAGGATAAAGTAAGTTTTGCTCTTGCTTTAAATATATATCCTGGAACTGTAAATTAGCATCTCCAATCTACTAATTTATTTTAATAGATTGTCTATAGCAAGTTGAGTGATTTGCTACCGTCAGAAATTACAAATGAGGAAGATCCCACCTTGCAACGACCTTTTGAAGATGAAATTGATGAACTCACAGATAAGACGAAAAAAGCGTTAGAAAAGATAACAAGATCAAAAATTGCAGCAGCCATGCCTGTGAGATGCGCAGAGAAACAAGCTCCAGCTCAGTATATACGTTATACACCGTCGCAGCAAGGACAGTCATTTAATTCAGGTGCAAAGCAGAGGGTCATCAGAATGGTGGAGGCACAAGTAGATCCTTTGGAACCACCAAAATTCAAGTATGTACAGTGAAAATAAGACGATTGTGAAATTGAATAAAGAACAACAATAATTACCGGATGTTTAATGCAAAGATTTTCGATTGCAGGATTAATAAAAAGATTCCGCGAGGACCTCCATCTCCTCCAGCGCCGGTCATGCATTCCCCTACGAGAAAAGTGACGGTGAAGGAACAAAAAGAATGGAAAATTCCACCGTGCATAAGTAACTGGAAAAATGCAAAGGTGTTTAGAAATATTTTATGCCTAACATTGCGTTTATCTCGTCATAAAAGATAATATTGAAATATAATTTGATATACTCGATTTTATCTACAATTCTAGGAAACAAAATTATGTTTCATTTTAGGGTTACACAATTCCATTAGACAAACGTCTTGCTGCAGACGGTCGGGGCTTGCAACAAGTTCACATCAATGAGAACTTTGCCAAGCTAGCAGAAGCTCTTTACATCGCTGACAGAAAAGCTCGTCAAGCTGTCGAAATGCGAGCGCAATTAGAAAAGAAATTGGCTCAGAAGGAGAAAGAGAAGAAGGAAGATCATTTGAGACAACTCGCGCAAAAAGCTCGAGAAGAGCGCGCCGGTTTGAAATCTGCCGCAACATTAGGTTTGTATAATTGCTAGTTAACACACAAAATAAGTAATAATAAAAAAATATTTCTAAAAATTAAATCAAGACAAAAATGGTGAAGATATTTAACTGATAAAGAGATGCTTTCTTTCTCTCGACAGATAAATCTGAAGAATCACGTGAGAGAGATCAACTCAGACAAGAACGGCACAAAGATCGCGCTCGCGAACGTAATTTGGCTCGCGCCGCTCCCGATAAACGCTCTCGTTTGCAACGCGAACGCGAGCGCGACATTAGCGAGCAAATCGCTCTTGGTTTACCTGCAAAAAGCATTCCTAGTACGGGAGAAGCGCAGTTCGATCAACGTCTCTTTAATACCAGCAAAGGGATGGACAGCGGTTACGGACACGACGACGAGTACAATGTTTACGACAAGCCGTGGAAAGATGGCAATTCTATTGCTTCGCACATTTATCGTCCTAGCAAGAATATTGATAAAGATACGTATGGAGACGATTTGGAGAAATTGGTTAAAACAAATAGGTGAGAATATTTATATTTTGTCTGTGCAATATATAAGTTTTAATTTATATAATTATGAGTGATCTACAAATTGTCTATAAATTTAAAGCTATCGGTGCTTGTTTTTTATTATAGATTTGTTCCTGATAAGGAATTTAGTGGAGTCGATAGATCAGTTACGCGATCGGGACCAGTACAGTTCGAGAAAGATGAAGAAGATCCTTTCGGTCTGGATCAATTCTTAAAACAGGCTAAGCGCGCCAGTAGTTCAACTACGGCAACAACAAAGCGCAAAGACGAACGGGAACAACGTAGAGACGACCGTGATAAACGTAGAAAGCATTAAGTATGTTTAAAATGCTTTCATATATCAGGCGAGATATTCTTAAAAGTTTATTCTATGTTATGGCAAAAATAAAACGTAAGATGCAACACTTATTTTTATATACATAAATAAAAAGAGAGACGTGATATCTTTTAAATAGAATTAATTATTAGTTATCGTGAAGCTACTGTACACTTTTGCTTTGGAATGTTACGAAAATGATAGCAATGTGTCGCCATTATATTAGAATTATAGAGTTTATTTTGAGTATTCTCAATCTTGAGTATTTTCAATTTGTATAGATCTAGAAAAATTTTTTGTACATCACATAAATCATAATTAATGAAACTTGCTGATAGTGTACATTTCTTCTTAATAAAGCAAAATTTCCGTGAAAAATATGGTAGTATAATGTGCATGAAAAATTTGAGCCGCCACAACTTTCCATTTTATTTTTATTACTTGCTTCAAGAAAAAGCAAACGCGATTAGCATTTTAATAAGGAAACTTCAACGAATTTAAGATGAACTAGGTCGCTTTATGAACAAAAATTATTGCTTTTTTTATTTTCATTTATTTTGTATTTTATCGTAGAATAACGCATATATTTAATCGCCAACTATTTATTCTCGCTGTGTTGAATAAGTGTTGAATAAACTTTTAAGATGTCGAATGCACTGTTACGTAATAAACACAATTATATAGAAATACAAAATATATAACTAGGAAGAAATCTTCTAATTTTTATTAGAGGAACCTAAACCTTTTCAAATCGTAACATGAGAATTAAATAGATAAATTAAAATTTACAATTAAAAAAATTACTGAATTTATAATATTGGAAGGGATTGATTCGAATATATTTCTTTATCAATTTTTAAGCGGAGTAAATTCTTTCGAGTACATTTTAATTGACTCATCTTTTACGCGGTGTAAAATCCTCGCGCAACAATCATTAAGTGAATACCACAGTTTCAAGAAGCATTACACTATTTCGATCGATTAGTAATCTTCGTGCTCTCGTGCCAAATTTGACATTGGTCAAATCCACGACACGAGCCCGTCTTCAAAATTAAATAAAAAGCAAACTGAAGGTTTCCCGCAGGCCGACGTGCGCGGTAGTATGTAAAAGCTAGAAACAAGCAACAAATCTACCGCATTTCCATTAGCCTTGGAATGTCTATCAGAGGCTATGTTGTTGGATGTTCATCAGTTTGAGGAATTTTCACGGTTTGGCCGTTTGCCAATCAGTAGCACAAGCACGCAGAGATGCTCGTTCAAGCTGTTAACTTACCATATTCGAATGCTGCCACTTTGAAACGCCGTTTGACTACGAGATGGACACATATCGGTTGGAGAAATGTGCGGCTGACCAAAACCGGCTTCATCTACTGCGTCGCCCGCATCGAGCAGATATTGACAGCAAATCATAAAAATATTTTAAAGATGAAATGTCTGTTACTTTCACGAAAATCGAAATCTAGTTTATTTTGAAAATTTTTGTTGAATTGAGTTCAACGAATTTTCCCATAAAAAAGGATTCTCCTCTCTCTGTCATTTCTTTATTTTCCTATATAGGAACCCAAGCAGAACAAGTCACGGTAATGTTAAAATAAATCAAAAATAATTAAAAATAACTTTTTTTTTTAGTGATCATTTTGGAATTATTTTAATATCGTTCTAATGTCATAATGATTCCGCTTGGAGATAAATTAACAATAATGTCTATATACAAAGATCTTTAACGATGACATAAGCCAGATATCTTTCTCTTCTATAAAAATAGTATGTAGTGCTCCGTGTATTTTCTACGATTATTCGTTACTCCGGTTACTCGTGTCGACTTGATGCGGACGATGCAGTAGATACAGCCATATCTCGGGTCAACTACGTATCTCTTCAGCCCAGATACGTCTAGATGGACCGATGGACGTATAGCCAGATAGCAATTAAAATGGTTCGCAGCGGTACCATTCGAATATAATAATTAAAAAAACTCTATATGAGATGAAAACATTTCTTCAAATGGACGCAAATATAACTATCTTTAATAAAAATAGTAATTTAAAAAATGCAGTTTTATAATCTATCTTTATATGCAGCTTTGTTAATTTGTATATATCATTTCAAAGGGATCGGCTTTCTCTGTATTTCTGTTTATTTTTACGAGAGTTTTTTAATGACAATTCGACACAGCAGGTCTTCGTATGAAAGAGATGAGCTTCCGGCGCGATCGAGTAAACGTATCGGTATTTTTAGTAACCGTTTCCGACATCGAAGCTAACATCTAACATGCATACTCAACGACTGAGAAACATCGTGTTGCGCCCTTGATGCTTTATGCAGCTTTTAACGATATCATTACTTAACATCCGGTTACGGAGGCAATGCCATATTTCTCTCTTTGCAAGAGAAACTTTTCTCGAGCAAAAATTGAATTTTCTTTTGTGCTGTTTCATACGCAAGTTAAATTACTTATATATAACATACATAACCACGGTTGCCAGCTTTCGATCAGTGTTTCGTTGAAGCCCAGCATTGGAGATTTAACTGTTCGGTCGGAAATCGATTGTTTACTTAGATGGCTTCTTTAAAAAAAGGTCATCATACTTTCTACCTACCCGAGATTTTTTTCAAATAAATATCTTTTTTTTATTCACATAATAACTATATTTTATACCCATTTATTCTTTTGATCTCTTCGCGAAATTATATATTATTCTTTAAACACAATTATAGAATTTATTATTCAACAATAAAATTGGCTGTAACGGTCAAAGCTAAATCTTTAATGCTTACATAATTCAATCTGAATTATAATACTATCTTGCTTCTCCGTCCATAATCCTCCGAAAGGATGTGGTGCGCACGCTGATTGTACACAGTCATAAGAGACCTACAGTTTAACGTCGATTCCGAACGACGATTTTGTTTATTATAAAAGTGCACATGGCAAGTATTACTATATATGAATTAATATATGTATATATACATATTATATATGTACTTGCATATATATAGAATTTATTATAATTATAATTCCCGCGCTTCTGAATGAAACGCCGTTTCTGAATTAAAAAAGGTTATCAAAATTTGGAGTAATCGGAAAAGTTATAAAAATCCGAGATTTGCTGGAGACTTGGTCGAAAAAAATCGGAGAGCTGGCAACCGTATACATAACGTACGCACGTAATTGTACACACAAGTTCCCGAGGAAGATTCCACGCGACGAGATGAGGTCGGAAATTGCATTGGTTTCGCGAATTGCAATATGAAACAGTGCACGACATTTCGCGTCGAATAGCATCGTGCTCGTGGTGAAGATTCCTCCAACGATCGATTGCACTGACTTTTCTCGAGAGGAGCAAACGACGTCCATTGAATTTTTGATAGTCCCCTGAGGCCTGACAGCTATTGGGAAGATTTCACACATCTGTGTCACGCGTGTATCAGGCTAATATATCTTCGTACAGCAGTGTGTTAAAGCTCAACTCCAAATTTCCCAAGTTAATGCTATTCGAGAGCGCATATTAAGCCAACATAAGCTACAACAAAGCTTTAATCCTGGAACGCGTGACCTATTTTTCCCGTACATATATGGAAAGAACGATATTATTAAAGTATCTAAAAATTTCATTAAATACAGATCTGAAAATAATTTTGTTGAATAATGAAAATAATTATGTAGAAAAATCTCAAGCATAAAAAGCAAAGCTGCAAAAAGTTTGACAGTCTAACAACCAGTTTTCGACGTCCTACATTCCTACATAATTACTTTGATGGTCCAACAAAATTATTTTCAGATCTGTATCTAGTAAAATTTAATTTGAGATATCTCGAGCGAAACCATTCTTTCCGTTCTATAAATGCAAAATAAATATAATCGAAAAATCTTTAAACACCGCCAGAAAACTCAGTACGATATGTTTCAGATGTATTTCCAAAATTCTTCACATTCTTGTACATACGTATATACATTGTACATATTTCTTTCACGTCAAACGCACATCACTATTATTATTCTCGTGGCGATACGATGATCGAACAGATCAGGATGAGATTACCGCAGCAGCGTTTCAAACGAAAAATTATGCCTGTCACGTGAGAGATGTATTTTTCAAGACGGATAAAGGAGATTCTCATGTCAGAACTCCACCGTTCCCCGCTCGGTGCGACCCAATTACCGTATTTCCCAATTAGATCGGGAAGTTAAGACGCGCTCGGGAAGAGATCACGCGAGCTTTTCTCGGTCGGGGTGTCGTGGCTATGTAAGAAAGAAAGAGAGAGAGACAGAGAGAGAGAGAGAGAGAGAGAGAGAAGGGAGAGAGACGAGCCGAAAAGCAGGAAAATATCGTAGTTATTTATAAGCTCGGCGCGAGGGTCGGCGTTTAACCTTGCCCGACGTGGACCGTCAGGCATGTCACCTAGCTGTTTTATTACGACTGTACTCCCCGTTCGAAACGTAGTTCCAATTGGGTCAGGTCCACGTCTGCTTTTCGCAGCGTTTCGCGAAGTGCCACCGACAGAACGTAGTTCTGACGGTGGATTAAACTCACACTCTCTCCACTCCCCTCTCCCCTCCTCGATCCCCTGCACTCAACTCGATAATACGCCGGTAGTAATTTATTACGACGTTTCAAACAGTCCTCTGTCTGCAAATGACTGCATTTTGCACTTTCGAATGAATGAGAAATTTCGAAAATGGCTCAGAGAAAACTTTGCGGTCAAAAGGTCTTTTAATATTTTCAAGAAACTAAAATATGATGGAATAATTAAATGCCAAAGGGCATAAATATACGTACATCTTGCCAAAATAATAATCATAATTAATAATGAATAATTTAAATAATAAATATTATAGTATAAGGTATCAACAAAAATAATCACACACACAACTAATTACTTATTATTAATATAAATAAGATAATTGGGCAAATATAATATATATAAAATAATTAGACTTATAAATAATAAATACTTCTTTCCTAAATAACTTAATAGCATCTCTAAAAGGCTGCAATACCCCGCCAAGTCTCACTTTATTAGGATTACGATATTATTTTGACATTAGAAATTTCATATATTGATAAGAGAAATTATTTATAACATCATTAATTTGTACCAAATTACTCTCATTTTTCTATTTATTATTAATTTGAA